TACTGAAATCAGGGATTAAGAAAGAGGAAGTCATCCACTTTGCAGATACAGAGCTCAAACAGCAGACCAGAACTAGAAGTGAATTAATTCAAATATCTAGACAGAATCCGTATCTTCAAAGATGGTCCCTATCACTAGCTGCCTATGTAAAGAAAGACCATCTTTCCTGAGAATCTAGCACCCAGCATTCTTACGTTTTTTAAATAAGCCACTTATTTTGGTTCCAAAAGACAAATACACTTGAAAATTCACCCGCTATAGTGAATATCATCCTCATTTAAAAAAGCCAGCAATTTTTTTCAGAAATCTTAAAACATGAAGAGAATACAAATCTTCTGAATATCAATGAAGTACTTTAACCATCAGGTTATCTTCCCCTTCATATCTATTACTCATGAGTAAGTAAGGTGATGACTTTTCTCTTTATTTAGCATGCAGTTTTGAGTCAGAATAACTGTCAAGTGCAGTAAAGAAACTTTTTTCCATTGGATTAATATCCAGGTATTTAATAGTATGTCACTTGTGGAATGAAACATAGGAAAAGCAAATGAGCTATATGACCTACTGCAGCTGAGCTCTACCAGTACTAAGAAGATTAATCACATCAAATATTTTTACTACATCTGAAAGGGCCCATGTAAAATACAGGAAGCTCTAAAGTTTCTGAAAATGTTTCTTTTATAAATTTTTCAGCTCTTGCCATCACTTGCAAAAATAAACTCTGCTGCTTTTCTTATTGATAGTCAAAATGAATTATTTCAATCTGATATACAGCAAGAGGTAAATTAAGTGAAGAGAAGCTTTGACGACAAACTATGTTACTCTAAGTACTAGGAGAATTAAGTAGTCCGCTCCAAATGACAGACTGCAAGCAGGGAAATGCTGTCATTAAGAGGAAAAATAGTAGCACTGTCTTCATAAGTGCAAACAAAGTAAAAAATCTCAAAATAATTCCATGGAGTAATTTTTAACAATTATAGTACCCTAAGTAACTTAATTTGCCCTGGTCAAATGAGACAAATTTATTTTTTATTTTTAATATATATCAAAGTATATTAAAACCTGCTGACACGCTATCAAGGGGAATCACTTCACCAGAGGAAAATACCTCAATAACCACCAAAATACAGCTGTCTGAAGACAGCAGCCTGAATTACCTAAGTTTTGCTCATTATCAGAACAAAGAATGTGGCTGTGTTGATGAGCATTAATTATGCATACCTCTACCTGGGAGACTGGATTGATGGAAGCCTCGCTGCAAAACTGATTCAATCCTGCTAACAAAACAAGAACTGAGACATGGGCGCACTGATACAGTTCCGTTATCTTCCCAGCACGTCCTACCTAACGCCAAGAGAAGCACTGAAATGAATTAGTTTTTGACTGGGTGTGGAGGGGGATGTCCTAACCGCTAACGGCGAGAGAAGACCACATGCAAACTCCTGTTGAAACCGTCTCCAGCCACCACCATACCTTTTGCGCAGTTACACGGCGTGCCGGCAACTCCTAGGCTGCGGGGAGTGCTGGTCTTTGGAGGTGGCATGCAGACCGCGTCCCCTCCCCGCTCTCTGCGACCGAGAGCGCAGTCCTCAGACGGCCATTTCATCCCCCACTGCCCTGGCTCACGCTGCCCGCTCCAAAACTAACTCACAACTCCGCAATTCCAAATCCGACGCCACACGCACTTCTTTTGTAAGAGAGAGAAGGCAGCACCTCGGATTCCCCCAATTAATCAATTAAAAAAAAAAAAAAAAAAAAAAAAAAGAGAGCT